CTCGGATTCTCCAGCATCTGCAGTTCCTACTATCTCTGATCCAAATAGAACTATCTTACAGTTGAGACAATCAATACCCTGACATACTCACAAAATCATACCTTACAGACAACTGGGAGACGATGGTCTCGTGGTATTATCGCTGGACTGTTAATCCAGAGACCCAGATAATGTTCTGGGGACCCGGGATCGAAACCCGCCATGGCAGATGGTGGAATTTGAATTCAATAAATATCTGGAATTAAGAATCATTAATGTTGACCATTGTCGATTGTTGGAAAAACCCACCTGGTTCACTACTGTCCTTTAGGGAAGGAAACTGCCATCCTTACCTGGTCTTGTCTACAAGTGACTCTTAACTGCCCTGGGCAATTAGGGATGGGCAATAAATGTTGCCTGGCCAGCAACGCCCTCGTCTGCGAATGAATAAATTAAAAAAAAGACAATGACCCAGACACCACTATCGACATCCCTGGATATGCCCTGGACAGATCCAGCAGTCGAGTGGTATGCAGTTGGGAGGGAGTTGCTCTGGAGTCCTCAACATTGACTCCGGACCCCATGAAGTCTGATGGTTTCGGGTTAAACATGGGAAAGGAAATCCTCCTGCTGATTACCACATACCGTCCTCCCTCAGCTGATGAATCAGTACTCAATGTTGAACAACACATAGAGGAAGCACTGACGATGACAAGGGCACAAAATGTACTCTGGGTGGGGGATTTCAATGTCCACCGCCAAGAGTGGCTCAGCAGCAGCATTACTGATCGAGCTGGTCGGGTCCTAAAGGACATAGCTGCTACACTGGATCTGCGGCAGGTGGTGAGGGAACCAACAAGAGGGAAAAACATACTTGCCCTCATCCTTACTAATCTGTCAGCTGCAGATGCATCTGTCCATGACAGTATCGGTAAGAGTGACCATCGCACAGTCCTTGTGGAGACGAAGTCCCGCCTTCACATTGTGAATAACCTCCATCGTGTTGTGTGGCACTATCACCGTGCTAAATGGGACAAACTTGGCACAGGTCTTGCAGCTCAAGACTGGGCATCCATGAGGCACCATGGGCCATCAACAGCACCAGAATTGTACTCCAGCACAATCTGTAACCTCATGGCCCGGCATATCCCCCACTCAACCATTACCATCAAGTCAGGGGATCAACCCTGGTTCAATGGAGAGTGCAGGAGGGCATGCCAGGAGCAGCACCAGGCATACCTGAAGAGGAGTTGTCAACCTGGTGAAGCCACCAAACAGGACTCAGTTCTGCTATAACACGATAGTTGCGTTCCTGTGCAACATCGCATTATAGAAAATTGCCCTATAGAAATAACAGGGAAAAGTGGGGTTAGGAGCAGACTACCAAAAAAAATCACTCAAAATTGCTCAAAAAAAATCACTCAACAGCATAACAGAAAGGATAACACAATTTGAATAAATGTTTAATTCATATCTAATAATGAAATAAAAGTAAATTTAACACTTTACCTCGAAACCATGGGGGAGGAGGTTGTACTGAAACTCTCACAAAAAGCACTTGACGACAAAGCCCATGAAATGATCATGTGATACTGGCGCAGAGACTCTTTCAGCGCTAACATTGTACATATTCACAACAAAGCCCGTGAAACAATCATGTGACATCTACACGTACTCCTCAGCACAGCAACGGAATCGTGTTATATCCAACACAAGTTTGCACTTTAGAAATATCATTCCCATATTCGTCAATGGCATTACAGCCAATTCGCAATGCCGGAACACACATTATAGTGGAACTGCCTGTACTTGCATGTCAAACAGCATAAGCAGCACGTGACAGACAGAACTAAATGATTGCACAATCAACGAATTTATATCTAAGCTCTGCAATCCCGCCACATCCAATGGTGAATGGACGTGGACAATTAAACAACTCACTGGAGGAGGAGGTTCCACAAATATCCCCATCCTCAATTTCACAGCAATCTTCAACCGGAAGTACTATGTGGCTAATCCATCTCGGCCTCCTCCAGCGGTCTCCAGTATTACAGGTACAAATTTTCAGCTGATTCGATTCACTCCACATGACAGCAAGAAACGGTTGGAGACACTGGATACTGCAAAGGCTATGGGCCCTGACAACATCCCAGCAATAGTACTGAAGACTTGTGCTCCAGAACTTGCTGCTTCCCTAGCCAAGCTGTTCCAGTACAGTTACAACACTGGTATCTACACGACAATGTGGAAAATTGCCCAAGTATGTCCTTTACACAAAAAGCAGGACAAATCCAACCCAGCCAATTACTGCCCCATCAGTCTACTCTCGATCATCAGTAAAGTGATGGAAGCTGTCACCAACAGTGCTATCAAGCAGCACCTGCTCAATAATAACCTGCTCAGCGACACCCAGTCTGGGTTCCGCCAGGGCCACTCAGCTCCTAACCTCATTACAGTCTTGGTTCACACATGGTCAAAAACCTGAATTCCAGAAGTGAGGTCAGAGTGACAGCCCTTGTCAACAAGTCTGCTTTGAACCAAATATGGCATCAAGGAGCCCCAGCAAAACTGGAATTAATTGGAATCAGCAAGAAAACTCTTTGGTGTTTGGAGTCATACCGTGCACACAGGAAGATTATGTGGTTGGTGGGGATCGATTATCTCCCCAAGGACAGTCTTGGTTCAAGAAGGCAGCTCACCACCACTTGCCTAAAGGCAGTTAGGGATCAGGATGGTGAAAGGCTTGGAGGGGAACTCGCAGGGCATAGCCTTCCCATGTATCTGCTGCCCTTGTACTTCTAAGTGGAAGTGGTTGTGGATTTGAGGATCTTTGCTGAATTTCTGCAGTGCATCTTGTAGACGGTACACACTACTGGTACTGTGAAGGGAGTGTGTATGGAGCAACATGATGGAGGCCCTGATAAATGGAATTGCTTCAATTTGGAAGGTGTTGGGTTTATTATGTGTCCCTCTCAAGTGAGTGCTGAGTGTTCCCTCACCTCCTGATCCAGGGCTTGTTGCTGACAGGAGGCTTTGAGTTGGTCAATAATTGAGGTACTTGTTAGTGTCTCTAGCCTCTGAACTAATTCCCAGCTACATGGGTCCCATTAAACCCACGGCAAATGATGACTCTTAAGATGTCAATAATTGGGATTTGCTGATTGGTGGCCACAAGCAGACAGGAAGTGAGCGGACTTCCTGTTGTTCAGGGTCACCTGACGCCTTCTCACACCATCAACAAAAGAAACAACTCTGCTGATTAGTTATTCCTTCAACGAATTGTTAAATATTGTTAACTAAAGGACATGGCTGATAGACTGGACAACTGAGCATCACAAAAACACTTTCAAACAAACACAGCCTGAGAAACAGAGAAAGATGAAACAACAGAGAAATTGTTGGAGAAACTCAGCAGGTCTGGCAGCATCTGTGAAGAGAGCAACAAAGTTAATATTTCAGGTCCTGGCAGACTGGCTGAGATTTTCCAGCAATTCCGGTCATTGTTCCAGATTCCCAGCATCTTCAGTTCTTTATTAAAACTGATTCAGATATTTGGTTGGGCAGCATCAGAAGAGCAGCAAAGCTGATGTTTTGGGTTGGGACCCTTCTTCAGAAAATGGGTCCCGACCTGAAACATCAGCTTTCCTGCTCCTCTGATGCTGCCTGGCCTGCTGTGTTCCTCCAGCTCCACACTGTGTTATCTCAGACTCCAGCATCGGCAGTTCATACTATCTCAGATACTTAGTTGGTTGCTGTGGACCAGGTTTGACTTGGGGACATTGTCTGATTGAAGGTTTGTGCCTAATGGGGAAGATTGTGAATGTGCATTAACACTATCACATGGTTCTCCCAGTGAGCACAGTGGGACTGGGACATTGAGTAAAAGCTGAACCTTCACAGGATACAACACCATCAGACTGATTCAGCGACAGTGTCAGATACTTTTTTAAGAAAGCAAATGGAGCGTTGGCTTTAAAAACAAACATAAAGGACAAAATCAAAGGCATTTTAACTTAAACTAGTTTAAACACTGGTTAGAGTCCAGCTGGGAGTCTCTATCGTGGGCACCACACCTGGATCAAGGAGATTTACAAAGATGGTTCCAGGGTGAGGGACTTCAGGGAATGTGTAGACAGTGGAGAAGTTGGGATTGCTCTCCCTGGAGAAGAGAAGGGTAAGAGGAAATTTTGTTGAGATATCTAATAGCATAAGAGTTTCTCACCAATGTCTCTCATTCTTACTGTAAATGTACCGGCATCAGTGATACCCCATGGTCAAATGACTTACTACTAGTCGGAAGAAAACAGTCCCAATGAAGTACAAAGCACTTCCTTCAGGAAAGTCGAGGAGTTTAAGACAGATTTGTGTTTATACTGTTGGGTACTTGTGGGGAGGACAGTGAGAGATATCTGGGAGGTCTAGGAGATCCAGAAGATCCAAGAGGTCCAGGAGGTCCAGAAAGTCTAGGAGATCCAGGAGTTGTAGGAGATCCAGGAAATCCATTTCTCACTCCCTTCTCACTCGGATTTATCGCTGCAATTTGTCATAAACATCTCGCTGTCCACTTTTGATTGGCTGAAAAACAAAAATGTCACAAGAGGAAAAGGGAATCAGTTTTAGAAATAACATTGAACGTAAAGCATGACAGAGGATGAAACTGAGCGAGGACGAATGTGGGGTGCTCTGAAGAGATGATCAAATGTAGGAAATATGTTGGAAAACCTGTGGGGATCACATGTTTGTTACAGCCAATCTTGCCTTAGTCCAGAACCTCCCTGAGTGCTGCCCTCTTCCAATTGCACCCCACACCCTGTGTGGTCTCCATTCTCCCTGGGACACTTTTGGGTGCACTCCCTCTTCCCAGAACACCCGTGGGTGCTCAGTGTCTTTCTACATCTGCAACTGCACCGAGCCCCATTCACCATGACTGCTCAATTAGGCACATTGTCCTGCTGCCCACTGAAAACTAGAGGGCGTAGGTTTAAGGTGAGAGGGGAAAGATTTAACAGGGACCTGAGGGGTAGCTTTTTCACACAGAGGGTGGTGCATGTATGGAACGATCCACGAGAGAAAGTGGTGGAGGCTGGTACAATTACAATGTTTAAAAGGCATCTGGATGGGTACATGAATAGGAAGGGTTTAAAGGGATAGGGGCCAATGGGACTAGGTCAGATTGGGATGGCTGGTTGGTGCAAAGAGTTGAACTGAAGGGTCTGTTTCTGTGCTGTATGACTCTCTGACACTATGATTCTGTGTCTCTGACACCCAGACCAGCAAAACCGCGGTTTTAAAATTCTAGTCCTTGTTTTCAAATTCCACTATTTCTAAGTAATGCCATTGAGATCCATGACCTGTGGAGTCCTCTGTCTTGCTGATCTAATAGCACCACCCACTGAGCCCCTAAACTGAGGAATTCCCTCCGGTCCCTCTCAAAATCTCCACCTCATCTGTGACCATTCTTAAAACCAACCACTTTGATGAAGAACCTCATCGCCTGACTTGGTTTTAGTTAAGAGTCATTCCTGTGAACCTCCTCTGGGATGTTTTATTATGTTCCAGGAGCTGTATAAATTTCAGTGGCTTTTGCTGGTGTTGAGAGCCAAAGTCCAGCCAATCGGTGTGTATGTTGGTGGAACAATAAATATTCCCACTAAAATAATGGGGAGATCTCATGGAATCATAAAGTACAGAAGAGGACCTTCGGCCCATCAAGTTTGCCTGAGTTTCTCTGCATCGTGGATCCAGAATTCCCACATTCACTATTCGGGCTGGGAACAGCAACATCTTCAACACTATTCCAAAAGACTGAGCTGTGGGTGTGAAGTGGGAATGTGAAAACTGACTGACCATGTTTGTTGGAAGTGTGGCCACAGAAAGGGTTTGTGGCAGACTGTTGTACGGGGATTGCTGGAGGACAGTGAGGGAGAAGGGTTTGTTGGAGATCAGGAGGTCGATGCTGGGCAGACTTAGCGGATATAATGCCTGCTATAATGGTCCAAACTGTGGAGAATGATTCAAAGTCTTTACCGCGTAATGAGATTGTTGATGGGAAGCTGTCACATTGGCACTTCGACCTGCTGGAGTCTCCATGGGTTCAAACTGCGGATGGCGGAATTCTGTAAACAGAACAGAAGTGATTCAGAAAACGGGAGGTGCCTGCAAATGGAACCCATGCCCATGGGTCACAGCTTCACCACAGAGATACAACCCACTGGCAATCATACAGGGACTGAGCCTCTCCCTCAGTGTGGATGATAGCCCTGACCATCTGTCACGGCCAACATGAAGGAGTGCTCATCCACCTCCTACACTGTCCCCCCCATCAGGGGCAGCATGGGGTTAGATACAGAGTAAAGCTCCCTCTACATTGTCCCCCCACCAAACACTCCCAGGGACAGGGACAGTATGATACCGTGTAGTTTGCGGACAGGTTGCATTCCGTGACCCTGTTGATGGCTGGTTCCTGGTTGACTGGGCGCTGTGGTTATGGGGCAGGTTTCTCTCATTGGATGAACCGTGGGCTGTTCCTGTAGGTCACTAGTCAGTGTCAGTGAAAGATTCTCTGCTTCAAACTCTTTTGGCAAATTTTGCAGCTTGGTTCAGAAAAGCACGACCAGCAGCTTGATTGACAACAGATTAAAATAAAATCCCACCTTTCGAGTTTCCTCCTCGCTTCTTGGCAAAACAATAAACGCCCATGACCACCAAGAGGGTAAATAACATATCTCCACAAATGATTCCAATCACCGTGCCTGGATCGAGGTTAATACAATCTTTACAAACTGGGAAAAGCAGAGGGAGAGAGAGAGAGAGTTCCATCACAAGGCTGTTTACACTTCACTAGAATATCAGATATTCCAGAACTGACACTGAAACTCGCATTTAGCCTACCTTGTCCCTCGGTCCTCACAGTGTTCCCTCTCTTGCTGAGGTACCATTTCCTTCCTGCCTCTTTCTAAAAAAGTACTTTCACTCAGCAGAGACCAGAACGAGGGGACTGTAGCAACGTCTGCATTACACTGAGATATATGATCTGAGAACCTCTGAACATTTCATTCAGGGACAGACGGGGGATCAGGGACATGAGCAGCGTCCAAATCTGATTCGACCTGAAACTTTGTTTCCCAACAAGACTGTTGAAAGCTGCTATCACTTTTAATCCCCTCTCACACTCCCTCCAAATTATTTTTATAAACATAGACATTTTCAGCAGTTACCTTTCATGTTGATATAAAAATGGTATTTTTCTTCATCACTTTCACAATAGACGTGGGACTCTACGATGCCGTTGCGGAAAACTAACTTGAGGGTTCGGTCGTCGTCAGTCGATACTCTTTGGTCATTCGTGTCTTTCCAGGAAATTTTAGGATCGTTGAGTGGGCAATTTAAAGTCACTTCGTTCTCATTGTGTGTCATGTATTCTATGAGGAGAAGCAAAGTCTCAATCAGAAATCTTGTTCAAGCCTGTAACATTAGACTGTTGTTAAATTCTTTCAGAATTTTTTTAAATTTCAGAAATCAGGATGAAAAGTTGTAAAATTTTCTCATCATTTACACGTTCTGTGACCCCTGTAAGATACAGAAACAGCTTCAGTCACATTCCTATATTCCACTCACACTTGCATATTCCTTACTTAAAAGCTATCGCTTCAGTTTCATTTCTGTTCTTGTCGCTGTCCATTTTGGGTGAAAGCTGCTGTGGGGATTTTCCTCTTGATTAGGGCCAGGGTATCTGCCAGTGTCTGTGTTAAAGGCATTGGGGCTGGTTAGCTCAGTTGGCTGGATACCATGAGCGTGTGTTGAGTTCCTGCATTGGCCGAGGTTAGCATGAAGGATTTTACTTTTACAGTGCCCATCATCAAACCAACAGAACACAGTGCAGAGCAGCTCCAGGAAGATCAGCAGCGGGGAGGCGATGGCCTAGTGATAATATCACTGGACTATTAATCCAGGGGAAACCCAGATAACGTTCTGGGGACCTATTAAGAATCTAAGAATCTAATGATGACCATGAATCCATTATCGGGGGAAAAGCTCATCTGGTTCACTAATGTCCTTTAGGGAAGGAAACTGCCATCCTTACCTGGTCTGGCCTACATGTGACTCCGGACCTACAGCAATGTGGTTGACTCTTCCCTGCCCTCTGGGCAATTATCGGCAATAAATGCTGCCTGGCCAGCGACGCCCTCATCCCGTGAATGAATAAAGCATAAGAAAAAATCCTTAAACAACTCAATAAAATGATAATGTCACAAAGTGACTTGTTCTGTTCATTTGTCATTTTTTTTCTAATCATACTTTGTGTTTTAACTATCTTCTGAAAAATTCCAATAATGTCGGTAAATCTCTCAGCTTAAAATTAAAACTGTGTACAGATCATAGAAATGAATAACAACTTTTATTCACGACATTTCGGGAATGAACAAGGTTAGAAGTAGAGCAGTTTGGCTAAATGGCCTGTCGCTGGACGTTCCATATTTCAACAGAAAAAAAAACAGGACCTTCATTATTAAAATCTCAAAGTAAAAAATATTAAACCTGAAAGTAAAACAACAAGTTAAATTAAACATTTTTCAGAAAATGTAAATTAATTTTGTTTATTTATGAATAAGAAAGGAATTAGAGATGAAGAGGGCATATGAAAAAAATACTGGTGGGTAATGTTGAAGAAAATCCACAATGTTTTATAAGAAAACTCAGGACAAGAGAATTACCAGGGAAAGAGTAGAGCCCATTACAGACCAAAGTGGCAGTCATAGCTGAGATTTTAAATAGGAGATAGTAGGAACTGCAGATGCTGGAGAATCCGAGACAACAAGGTGCAGGGCTGGATGAACACAGCGGGCCAAGCAGCATCATAGGATTTCTGATGAAGGGTCTAGGCCAGAAACGTCAGCCTTTCTGCTCCTATGATGCTGCTTGGCCTGCT